TTGGAAAACACAGAAAAGGCTTGAATAATTGAAGATTTAAGACTTTCTCAGCTTCTTCCAGCAACTAAATCAGATGCTGCACAGCTAAAGGATATCAAACTTGCAAATAACTTTTATTGCACAAACATCATAAATGTTGCACAAAAAAACAAAACTTGAAAAGTGCCTGAGAGCTCAGGGACTATTTTTTAGTTTGGCATTAAATCCACTAAGGAAACAAGGTTAACATAACTGGAGTTATATTTATGTACTGGGGCATAGTGCAGCAGCAGGTTAGGGGGGGTTCAAACACTTAGCATGGACACCAGCAAAGGACAAGCCTCTCTTACCTATTGGGGAGTTACTATTCCACTATGACCACTTCAAACAGTAGGAAAACTAGCTGATCAGGGCAGATAAACACAGCCAATCAACCCCTGGCCTGACCACAGACACCACAGGGTAACCCCTCATCGCTCCCACATCCGCTGCAGCTCGTGTATTTTGCTGAGCTGGAATCTCCCCATGGCAAACCCCTGAGCAGTCTCACACCTCTCAGTTCCACTCCAGAGGAAATACGTGCACACACACATTCAGTTGAAAAGGTCCTTCTTCTTTGTTTCTTCTAAAAGTGTGAAAATAAACATATCTCTGCGTCTCTGCAATGTGAAACTGAAACATGCTTGAAGCAGAGGGGAACGACACAAAGAGATGGTGTTTGCTCTGCACACAGAAACTGAGGCTGAATTAAAAAGCGTCTGGTCCCTCAATTTCATGTCATCTGACCTACTTTTTATTAAACAAGGTTGTTCGATTTTTTTTTTTTTTTTTTGCCTTGACCAGTTTGAAAACCAGCTGTGAGGCTAACTGGGTGGATAAAAATGAAAATAAAAATGTACTGTTAGTGATAACACAGAAGGCTTGCACTGTTTTGGCTAAAACCCCAGAGTGATGGAGCCGTGTTAGGCAGACCTCCTAGGAGGAAGAAGAAGCCTTCCATGTTTCCCGAGTCGTCCTGTCTGTTACATAACCCAGAGTGCAGCAAGTTTGGCTGCTAATCACCTGCCTGACATTTAGGAGGGAAGGAGGGCCTATCAATGACGCAGAAAAATGCAGATGAAACATCTTAGCTATTTATTAGGTTGGAAAAGTTATTAGCTTCTTCGTAATACCCATGCATAGTGCTTCCAGAAAGTATTTACATTTTTTTTGTAGTTTGTCTGATAACCACCTAAAAATATATATACTTTTTTAACCCACATTTATAATGTGCATGGAAAAAGATAGAAGTGTGTATTGCATTTATGTTTAAGCCCCTGTTATTTTTAAAGTGTAACACTTAGAAAAGTGTAGCAACATGGAGGTGGCAGCATCATGCTGTGGGAATTTTTATCTCCAGTAGGGGCATAGAAGCCACCCACACTTGATCAAATGATGCAGAGAAATTTAAGCTTTACGAATAGTTTTTGCAGTCCAAATGCACACACCCCAGAATAAAACACAATTTTTTTTTAAACACCTGAAAGACCAGCAGGGTCAAAACCTGAATTTGTATTTTCATATTACACCCACGGAAACACTCAGCAAACTTATTTAGCTTTTTACAAACTCTGATGTGTTGCCTTGCGCCACACTAAGCTTTCATGTAGATGGGTGCAACACTTGACGGGAAAGACTCCTCTGTCCCACACCCAAAGCTGGCTTTATACACACAGGTGTGCACACACTACCACACATGCAACAAGTGGGTAAACAGCTCCTCCACACCGTTATTGGCAATTACTGGTGAAGGTCGGGCATCAGCGGTAGGGCTGAGTTCCAGGAAAAAAAAAGCCTGGTTCTTATGTAACCTCAGCCCAGAGTTGGCAGGCACCCAGGAATCGTGCAGCTTGCAGGAAAGGGAAACTAGGACACAGCCTCAATGACTGCAACAGTCCCTCGCATTCACTACTTTCAGGCATAGTTAAGACATGAACGCAGTCACAGTGCCCCCTACTGGCTCTTTAAGAGGGCAGAGAGGAAACACCAGGCACAAAGATGGGTTTTCTGTAAAAGCACATATATTCATAGAACAAAATTAGGATATGGCTTTTATGTTTTTATTTTCGTTACTGTTATTTATGAAGAAACACCCATTGGGTTATAAGATAATGTGCGAATGCAAGAGACCAACCTGCAACATCTGGGAAATGTATTCATGCCTCTTGAGCATATATATTTTGCCTCGTTAATGGATTTTATTTGGGTTTTATAAAAATACAAAATAGTGTGTAATTGTGAGGTGGACGGTTTGCAAATTGACCTGCCAACCTGATTCTGAAAAGTGTGAAGTGCTTTTGTATTTGACACAAAATGAATAGCACCTCAGAGCAAAGCTTTCACATTTTTACCATAGACTGATTTTAATTCTGGACTTGGACCATGTTAACATGAGAATCCACTTTGATGTAAACCCTTCAGTGATCCTCCGGCTGTATTTTTAGGCTGTATTTGACGTCATAGTTCTTTCCAAAAACTTTGACTAACTTCCCTGTCCCTAAAGAGAAAAATGATCTCCATAGCCTTATGCTGCCACCACCATGTTTCTCTTCTCACCACATGCTAACTGTGTCTGCTACATGTATCCTTCTAAAAAACTGTAAATGCTTCAAATTCTTCCAACAAAGAGGTTCCCGTCAGCCACTCTTCAATAAATACTAGACTGTTGACAGATTTGTCCACCAGAATAGTTGATATTTGCAGTTATCCTAGGGCCCTGGGCTGACTCTCTGACTAATGCTCTTTTATCTTAACTTCCCATGCTCTTCTTTATGTTGCTGTGCTATGTATTATCCCCATGAGGCGGTCTGTAAATGTTTTCTTTTTTCAGTTGAGACTGAATTTGGGGAATCAGTTGCATGGGACAAGGGCCCCGCGTCATCCACCCCTTAAACCTGCTCCTGTTTGGTTTACAGAATTCATCTTAACTCCAGTCTGGATTTTTATTAATAATGGTTTGCACTATTTACAGTCACACATTTCAATACATTCCGTCATTCCTAAAAGTCGGATGGTAACGGTTTCATTTACAGTACATCAAAAACCATTTAATAACATGGTAAACAACATAGCAAGTTACACTATATCCCTAGGTAACAAGAAACACTTTATGGAGAATTTTTGGTAAGTGCTGTGGTTCAAGTCAGACTTCCTAGATGTAAAAAAGTTATTACCAGGTAAGTCATGCATTTCACCTTTAGAAAAAGTTAATTGTTATTATCTAGTAAAATGCAGTTTTCTGTTGGCATATAACAGAAAACCAAACCTAGAAAACAGCAAACCAATCTTCTTAACTAAACTCTTATTTATATGTGACCTAAGTTCAGTTTTAGAATGCTTTAGTTACTTGATCATAAGTTACACTTTACTTTGTAAGCCATTGGTAGGTGGTGACCAATAATAGAAACTGTTATGTGGTAACCTAATGGGAACTACCCACCAAAAGTTACATGGTAACATACAATTGTAATAATTACATGCAGGTAATTACTTTGAAATTATACAACTTATTTTTGGGTTAATTACCAAATAATGTTTTTTTTTTTTTTGTTACCAAGTAATATATTGTAACTTGCTATGATATTACCATGTTATTACATGGTTATTGATGTACTGTAAAAGAGAGCGTTACCACGGACTCAAAGAAAATAGTTTTGGTTTATTCTAATAGGATACCTGTTCTAAATGGTGCCACTTACTGTTTTTTCCCTTAATTGCACTTTTTAAGCTTCGAAATTGATACCTATAAAATCCCAATGGTAGCAACATTACAACATGGTAAGTAGATTTGAATACTCGTGCAAGGCACTGGGTATTCTAAAAACGCACAATAAGGTTTTATAGCGTGAGCTATGTAGAAGTGTCCCACATTTTAAGGCTAAGTTATGCAACTACCTTTTCGTGGCTTATATGTTTTGATCTAAACAGTGATTTTATTATGTTATTCTTATACATTTTTCTAAGGTCAACATTTGTGTGACAATATTTTCTACAATCTTTTTGTTGCTGCAAACACCAAAATTTCCCCATTGTGGGACAATAAAGGGATTTTCTATTGTATTGTATTTTATTTTTATTCTATTCAAAACAAAGCTGAAGAGAAATATACTCTTGCGTATTTATGAATTGAATCATTAAAATATGAAAAAAAGATATAAAGAGCATTTGAAAGGTAAAAAAAAAAAACTCATTGGGTTTTTTTTGGAATCTACTGAGTCACTTTGTCCTTCATTTGACTTTCAGACCTACAGGTAGAAAAATTAGGCGAAGTATGACAGACCTGATAACGTTTTCAGTAAACACAAAATATAATTAAAATTACCCATCCCAGGGTGTCAATGTTAAGATGCATGCATCACTTTTCAAATTAGATCTACATCAAAAATATTGTGGAGCAAAACCTTTTCAGCAAACTTAGTTGAAAAAAGGGGTTTTGATAAATAAAGAAAAGAATGAACTTGCTTCTATGCCATTTGTTTCTGAATCAGTCCTGAACATGTTTTAAATCAACTTACCTTAGAAATCTAAATGTCAAGCTCCACAAAGTGTTTTATTTCATTTTCATATGCTAAACAGTTTTAGAAGAGTTCAGACATGTCAACCGCCAATGAGAAGACAGTGAACAGACACTAATGCACCACTACCACCTGTCACAGATACAAAGTGCTTCACCTTAATGTTTTAAATAACCCAACCATACTAAGCAGCATGCATGTCAGTCACAGCACACATCTACCACCTCCTCAGTTAGTCTGCACAGAGTTTTTTTTATTGGTAAAGGCTGCAGCAGGTGTCAATAACAGAACTGCTCTGCCCCATATTTGCTACCATCTGTGCCCAGAGTACCCCCCACAAGCATCAGCAGCACCACAGCAACACCAGCTGCTACCGTGCAGTTACACAACAACTAAAGATGTTGCACAGACACAACAGACAGCGGCTCAGGGAAACGAGGGCATGACTTAAAGAAAAAGAGAGACAACCTTAGGCATTTCCATTTCATCATCAAAGGCCCTGAGCTGAAAGAGAACAGAAGGTTTAAGGTTTATTCATTAACAATGCAAGAAGAAGAAATTCAAGCTGTCAATCAAACGGCATGGTGTGACTGCTGAGTGAGTTAAGGATTGCTGAAATGGTGCAAAGAAAGGTTGAGATTTGGATATTACCAAGTAAAAGTCACTATTTCCAAAATATGAACTGCTAATGAGATATTTTCTTCATTTTTTGGGGGGTTTTATAATCCTACACTTATATAACACTTTATGCAACTTTTTACTGCTTGATATTACTTCTGTGCATGAGAAACTGTTGTCATTTAGGTATGCATTCTATTCATTCTTAGGGAACAATCTATAAAGAACCCAGAATCTATTAAAATGAATCTAATCACCAAAACATAGCAATATACAAAATACAGCTTAAAGTTGCACCTATACACCGATCAGCCATAACATTATGACCATTGCTTGGTAGCATAGAAAAACCCTTCAATTATCTCAGACTTAACTAGACACTGTTGTATGGGTTACAGTGGATGCAGTTTAGAGTATTCATAACTTAAAAATAATCAAACAGATGCGAATTGCAGTTGGCAGCTAAATAATATGCAAAGATAATGACTGATTTTATAATAGGCTTCCAGGATTATAAGGCCAGATGCAGTAAAGCAGCTCAGCTAAATTTTTTTTTACAATCACACATCTACACACACATCTTTGAAACTTGGACATATCTCAACATGTCTGCTTGTAGCTCTTTTGCAGCTCAGCTGCATTTTTATGTAGATGCGTTCCCTACATAGCTGATGCATATCAAAGATGGATTATCCTTATGATCAGTGGACAATCAACATACCTGGAATTGAAATGGTTTCTAAATTCATAGTGACTACGAAAAAGCCCTACAGATGTGCTCCTTTTTACTTGCAAACTGAAACCCTGGTGCAGTTGGTAGCACTGCTAGCGAGAAGGTTCCGGGTTTGAATCTTTCTGCATTTTTGCATGTTCTCCCTGCGCATGCGTGGGTTCTCTCTGGGTACTGCTGCTTCCTCCCATAGTCCAAAAACATGACTGTTAATTGGATTCTCGAAATTCTCCTTAGGTGCGTGTGTTTGTGTTAATGGTTGTTTGTCCTGTTTGTCTCTGTGTTGCCCTGCGATGGACTGGCAATCTGTCCAGAGTGGACCCCGCCTCTCGCCCGTAGATAGCTGGCACCAGCACCCCTCGCGACCCTACTTGGGATAAAGCGTGACGGGAAATGGATGGATGGATGGATGTCACGAACTTGAGGATGAAACATCCTGTCTACTGTTGCGTCAAGCCTCAGTACCTGCTACCTGTGGGGATGCAGTTGGCCAGAAGGTAGAAAAAAAATGCAGAGGATTTATTGGAAATTCGTTTGTGGGATCCATCACATCCCTGCCTACTACACCATGTTGTCCAGCCCCTGCCCTCCTGGACACCAGCCTCCGCCATCTAGAACTATGGACACCGTTGCATAAGCAACCCGTTAAACACCATGTTTTGCATTTCGGCCGTTGCCTGGTGTCACCCCACTGGTTTACGAGGATATTACTTCACGTCTTAGCCACTAGTCACTTAAACGTTTGTTCTACAGTATGTTCTTCACAGGAAGTCGATTCTATACTGCTTACTGAGACAGGCATCATAGCCTTGAGAAATATGTTTTTAGTTTTGAGTCACAGACATTTGTGATCACATTTGACTCTCCAGTCCTATGTGCTTTGGTGTACCGCCTTCACAAATTTAATACAGATTTTATTCAATAAAATTGAATTATGATCAATTTCTAATGACTGGGGATTTCAATATTCATGTTCAAAAATGACACACCCAGGACCTGGTGCTGACTTTTGGTCTTAAGGCAATAATGGCTGAGATGTGCTAAATACTCTTCTGTACTGTTACCGGTAACAACCCATCCAAGGAGTTTGGTTGTGGTTCAATGTAATGCTTAACTTTAGACCATTCTCTAAACTGTTTTTTGTGTCTTAAGTTTTAGAGTAAGCTACTTTTTACATTTACTCTAATCTAAATGAAACCAGTGAAAAGTTCCACTCAGGTCTTATAAAGAATCACAGCATTTTAATAACCTTGTTTTAGCTGTTAATGCAGGGAAATCAGCAGCTTCCTTGCTTTGAGACCTTTTGGCAACATTTAACAGCATGGATCAAAGGAACAGAGCTCAGCTGGTTTAGGTGTGTCTCTTTAATTGAGGCTTTTCTGTAGCTCCCCTCTGTCTCCTTCAGGTTGTGTTGTGCCGCATGGGTTGATACTGACACCTGTTCTTTTTTCCCTGCATATGCTCACCCTGTGCTCTGTCTTCATAAAGCATGAAGTCCTTTTTATCTGTTGTCAACATTTAAATCCATCTGCCTGTAACGACCAATGACAGCCAGTCCACTGTCAAAATGCTTCAGAGTTTTTCTTAAGAAGGTGCAGGCATGGTTAAGTGTGAATGAAGAAAAAACTGAGGTATTTCCTTTAGTTTCCCATTTTCTTTCAGACAGTCATTTAGAAATCTCCATAATTGCATTTAAAAAGGAGAGTGAAGGAATAAAATGCAATTTCAAACTTAGCCCACTGCTGAGTGGTGCTGTTTCCAGAAGTTGCTGAGAGCACCCCATGTGGTCCATGAGGGCCCCTTGGAGCACCAATTGGTTACCCCGGTTCTGTAGTGCCTAAAACGCTGTGGCCCAAATACACACTAAAACAAAGATGCTTGAATTAATTCAGATTACACTCTCCATCTATTAAATTTTGAGTGAAGGTTAAGTTTTTGTAGATTGCTATTAAGTATTTAAACTCTTTGGCCCATCTCATTTAATTAAGCCGCTACATTCCTACACTCCAAATAGACCCCTGATGTCAGCCAACCAGCTCCTATTGTCTGTCCGTTAATCCAGGCTAAATTCCAGAAGTGATAGAGCTTTCTCAGAGGCAGGACCCATACTGTAGAGCACAACACCCGCAAATTGTTCATCCATGGCTCCCTGGATGATATTTAATTACAACTAGAACCAGCCCAAATTCCACAGGCGCTTTTGCACGCTGCTGTGACTTTGCAGGTTACCGTTGCATTGTGGGGAATGTAGTGTTGGTGCAGGTGTGTTGCAAAAACCAATACTACATTCCCAGGGGAAAACATGATTGTGTTTTTCTTTTATTTTAATTTTTTTGTTGTGCTTTGCATTTTGGATTGTTTTGTTTTCTGCTTTTGCCCCTTTAACAATCCAAGCTGGGCTGAAGTCGGTTGTCTAAGGAGGCGGAGTGCACTAACTGCGCTAAGCAACTGGTGCACACAGGTGTCAGCAGAGGCTGATTGAAGCCAAAATAAAAGGAGCCTGGATGGAGGGAGGGGGCGGAGCCGATCCTGCAGGTGGTAGAGACGGACACGCTGCTGAGTGAGGGGTAGGTGGGATCCACACGATACTCTGAACAAGATGGAGCGCTACTAAGAGGCGCGGCCCTCTGCCTGACTGTGCCGTCTGTTCGCCTCCCGCTATTCTGTGCCTGGCGTGTAGAATAACCTGCCCCTCAATCGGCAGCGTGTCTGTCTGTCTCACCTGCAGGATCAGCTCCCCCACCTTCCATCCAGGATCCCTTTATTTTGGCTTTAATCAGCCTCTGCTGACACCTGCGCGCAGCATTTCAGGAACCTCTGGCTGAATTCTGCGTCCGCTGTCATTATTCACCATAAAGTTCTTACAATTCTTTGTACAAGACGGGATTTTCCTTTGAAGGAAGTATTGTTTTGTCTGTGTGCCATAGATTTTTGTATTCTATTTCTTTTAATCACATTTTTGACTCAGGTAAAAATGCAGATAAGAGCCATGAGAGAGAATACAACTGATTTGATTTTTTCTTATTTTACTATTTGAAAGCAGTAATCAGTAGGATAATAGAGCAGCACAGTAATGCCTTTTCGGTTTATAATGTATGCACTTTCATTTTTGTATGTATGTTAATAACTTTATACTTTCACAATGTGTTAAGTCTTGGTTCAATAGACTATGTTTATTTAAATATGTTTTAATAAACATTTAACCAGTTCGGGCCTCAGCTTGTAGCAGATTAGTTTTTTTGGCCCTTGGTGTATTTGACTTTGACATCCCTGCTGTGGAGCAATGCTCCTTTTTCTTTCAAAGCTCTCACCTCTTAGACTAGTTCAAATCCACACTGAAAAGGCGCCTCTTCTCCCTGGCTTTCCACGCTAGTTATTGTAAGATAACTATAAATATATATATCTGTGCACCTCTAACCATTTAGATACCTTTGTCTCCAAATCACACATTCTTGGTCTAATTGTTTTTGGCAAGACACTAAATATTGCGGTCTTGCTCCGCCCGTTCAGCAGGCACAAAACTTAAAGATTTTGATGACTTTAGAGCCCACATACCAAGATATAACAATTTACAAATGTTAAGGGGCCGAGACAAAGTACAAAGGAATTAATCAGAGCTCCTCACAAGGTCCCAAAGATAATTCAATCATACATATATGGTCATACCTGGAATGGCTGATCAGTATAGTTCATATACAATTGAAGGCATATGGTAATTTAGAAGGCTTATAGTTGCAAATCATTTCAATGCAGAGACAGACAAGCAGGTTACCTTCTCTCCATAACCTCTGTCCTTTGTCATCATCTCTCGAAGTGTTTGCAGAACTTTGATGCACAATTTCTCTTCATTTTCCTCCAGCAACTGTTTGGTATGCTTGATCAGCCTGCACCATATTATTTATCAAGAGTCAGTGGCACTTTATGAATCAACTTGGAAATAACATAAATAGTTGTAAGGCTTACTTGCATATGAACCCCCCGCTCTCACACTTCCTGCGTGAGTCAGTGTTCTCTGGGAAAAGCAGCTCAGGTCGATGCAGCACATCCACCAGGACGGATAGCTCAGCCTGGACCAGTGGGCGCAGACGATCCTCAAGAGCTGACACAATGTCCTAGGTTAAAGAGATAAGCATGTCCTTACTGTTTGTATAGATGGAATGGTTTGGGGTAAATTCAGACGTTACCTGCAGCCTTTCGATAATATTCCTGTAGTCCCTCGACACAGTCACCACAGATTCTCTGCGAGTTGAAAGCTGTGAGTTGCGAACGGACAGCCTCCAGCTTATGGCGGTCCTCTGCACTATGTTGTTGGATCTCACAAACAGGTTGTTCACCTGGTTGTCCAGGTCCACCGGGATGGCTATTGCTCTGCTTTTGGCTGGTTGGTACAGAGAAAAATGCATTCTTTGTTTGCTGCCAATTGTGTTTTAAAAGTTCTCAATGTGAGCATTGAAGTAGAGATAAACTAACCAACATCAGAGAGCACTTTGATGCAGGTTTCAACAGAACCCTTCTGGCCAGACCCAAGCCAGTAGCAATGGTAGACCCTGAAAACTGCCTGCAGCAGCTGCACAAAAACAGGTTGCCTGGTCTGAGAGGAATACAAAAGAGAAAACAAATAAAACCCAGGTTAGCATTTTTCTTCCTGTTTCTTTCAATTCGAATGGACTCTCCTTGAGAGAAAGAAAAAGGTCCCAAACAGCATTAAACTCTCCCATCTTTCCTTTGTTACAGTGGTTCCCAAACATTTTAGCTTCTGAAATAATCACAACACATACAGTTAAGAGATGCAGCAAAAAATTACTTTTATTTGAATTAGCACATTTACATTAATTCCTTTACATTCTTAAAATAAAAGATAAAAAATATGATTTGAAATCCGCTACAACACCTCTGACCGGTGCATTTCCAACTATGCATCTCTTGTGACAAATATTCCTGTATTTTTAATTTTTTTATCTGTTTGATTGTTGAGATCCTCTCCAAGTTTGGGAACCACTGATGCATTTCACCAACAGTCTGCACCACAGTGTTTAAATATCCAACACCCCTCTTAAGAGTCAATGAGCAAGAGTTGACAGAAGTTGTGGTTAGACCAGCATGCTGACAGAGTATGAAGTCTGTTTCTTTTTTTTTGGAAACATATGAATTCCACAGCTGACACTTTCCCAGATTTCACCCATTGAAATTAAAGCCCTAATTGTACTTACTTATTGACACCAGTTAATAACAAGGTAAATATGCGTTTTTTCTGCATTCCATACAAGAAAAGGTTTTGTTTCCCTTCTAAGCAAAATAACAACAATACCTGCAAATTTTTCCTCAGACGTTTATCCTGCAGCAGATGACAACAGGTCATGAAGAAACAAACAAAATTTGCATATATATATATATACACACACAACAAAATCAAGATGGATGACGAGATCCAAACACAGTCCTTATCATTGCAACTGCAGAGTGATTGATAATCCGGGTAATCTACAATTCAGGGACTGCATTAGCCACTTTACTGATCTGTTCACTTCATTTACCTTACCACATTGTGTTACCTCCACCTATAGTAATGCCTATTTTAAAGGTAAAATGGAGGATTTTAGCAAAGTTTTGAAAAGACCCGCCCTCTCCACTTAAAAAAAATGCACATGCACAACCCTGTGCCCGTTCTCAAGAGGGAACTGCTATTATGAGAGTGTGCACGAGCCCATTTCTCCTTGTGCATGCTCTGTTTACAAGTTGCTGTTTGCATCGCTGATGCAAGCTTACTTTCCAAAAGAAGATTTGCAGTTTTTCCACTATGTAAGAATCACCAC